TGGAATCAATCAGTTCTCTCAGTGAAAATATAAAGAAATAGAGATACTTATAAAATAAGATTAATATTTATAAAATAGATTTCCAGCTATAAATTATTTGATATAAAAGTCTTTTCACAAATTGAACTTCAAAATACAAAATTATCTGTATTCACAGCTTGCAAAAATAACTTTGACATTTCTGTTTCGAAAAGAATCGTGAATCGGAGTTTTATTAAAGAGAAAAAATTTGGAAAAGAAAAGCATATTGACAAGTCTAAAAAATGCGTCGATTTTTCTCATTTATTTCTTTATTATTTTTCTATGTCAAAAAAAAAATTACTTTATCGTAATAATGTTATTCTGCGATGATATCGCTGCGACGCGTATTGGACAAACACAAACAGCGAGAATTCTCCCTCTAGTTTCATTCGCGGAGAGCTGTGAACGCGCATACATTTATGCATTTAAATAACTTATTTCAGAAGTTACACGTGACGCGTGGGAGATATACTCGCAATCTGTATTCTCATCACGAATGTATATGTACACATTTTTCCGATTGAATTCGATAACCCCGCATGTTTAATTCAGATTCAACGTCGGTGGTTCCAGAAGCGAAATGAACTTTTAGCCATATCCACGAAAATCGAATCCACCGAAAAACTTTAATCTGGCTTTCAATCAGCTAAGCCTGTCGTCGCCGAACATCTCCCGCGAGTAGATCGACGGTACACGGATACTTATATAAAATACTGATATCAAATCTGTGCGTGGCTGAAATTAAATTTTAGAAAAATTTTATGAATTTATCGGCGAGATTCTCTGATGAGTATATACGAGATATGACTAAACGAAAAGATATGAATTTGTAATCGAAAAATAAATATCTTTATTGTTAGTAGTAACACTATAATTATATGTATCAAATTTTTTTTATAGCAATGAAATTATTTTGCTCGCGTGAAAACGATTGCTGCGATACGTTTTTGTTTGTTTTCACATACACTGTTGCCTCTATAAAATATATTTTGATATCAATTTCTCTTCTCTTCTTAGATAATCTTTGTACAAGCGTCGAAAGCTGCTTTTTTTTTCTATAATATCCGAGTTAAATTTTCCGAAATTGTTTCTCCCCTAAAAGCTTTGCAACTTTTCTTTATACATACCGGGCTTATGTAACGCGCGCTAATTCTACTAACGTTCCTTTTACGCCGATATTTCTCAACGGTTTACTCTTTGTACTCTATGAAATGAAAGCCACAGCATTACGAGGAGTGTTACAAAGGAAACGAGATGCGGAAAGAGAAGAAAAGAAAATGGGAGCGAACAGATAACCGAAAGAGAGAGAAAGAGAGAGATTGACTGCCGCACGCAAACAGAATCAATTTTTTACATTTTAATCTTCAAACTTATTTCTAAAACGTATCAAGTACTCTAGAACTTTTTTGGCGAAGAATCAAAAGAAGAGTAATCTATCTACTGTGTATATTGAAATTCTAAAAGTGTAGTAACTTCACAGAGATAAAGTCGCCTTTGACGATCAATGACGGAGGTTGACGAACATCTAATAACATCTCGCTCGTCGAACGTAATTGCCACTTCGTTTTCGCACTTTATACAGTTCTCGTACCTGACTGCAATTAACAGCGTGATTCTGTCGATATGGGACGAAAATTCAGTTGCCCGGGCAACGAGCAATACGAAAATGTCCGGAATTCTATCGTATTTGAATGTGACTGTATGTCGCGTTTCGTTCCAATCCAAATACTATGGACCGCTGCTGGCAGATTCCATTCGCTTCCTGCGTAATTACAATATTTTCGTGGAAATGTTTTAATAACGGATGACATTGATATTCGATATCGATTTTAATTAAATAAAACACCGTTATACTGTTTTTTTTTTCTTTTTCGCTGCGCGGTGACGTTTACATCAAACTCACGATAATATAATATGCATTGTTTGCTTTTTTTCTCCACTGGAGTCATGTTTAACCAACTAAATGTTTGAAACAAATATGTATTGCGTTACGATAATATTGTTTTAAAAATTTGGAGACGCGTATAATTATTCGATATAAATAATTGATAAAATTACAAATTGGCAAATCTTTTTCGATTAGCGTAAAATAGATTTCTCTGAAAAATTTATTCATTACAAATACGTTTTGATACTTGATACAAACGGTATCTCGCGATTAATGATTTGTACGAAATTAAATGGGCATGAAATACGATTTGTATTTTCACTAATTGAATCACATTCGTGCGTGTAATAAATAGCGCTAGAATCGTAGAGTGGCAAATCACATTTTTATTTAATGCCACGAGCTCGTCGTCAACACTAAATAGCGAATGAATATGTATTAGTATGCAAAATCTCGCCGTCACATAATAGCACGACTCATACACATAAAACGCCGTAGTCGCGAAAGCAACGTTGGATCGATATTGTTTTCCACATGATTAATTAAATTATAAACACATAAAAAGTTGAAAAGCATCTTATTATAAATTTAAATAATCGCGGGCTAGCAATCTTATTATAATTCTTATAATTATTATTAGAATTATTATCTTTTTATTGATTGCTGATAGTAATTTGCGTCAATTTTTAACAGTAAGAGTAAGCTTACATTTATTTCTATTTCGTTACGCTTATCTTCGTTTTTATATCGTACATGACAGACAAAGTTGACAGAGTGTATCGAACACTTCCTCTCTCGAAGGAATTTTTCCGTCTAGACATTTTGATAATGATATCTTTATACGAGTAGTTTGCATAGAGAAACATGAAAAGTCCCTAAGGTACCATGCGTACATAATTCTTGCAAGACGGAGGAAAATAAGGACGGATCCAGTGATTTAGCCCGTCGTTATGTTCCATCGGTGTGTCATAAGTGTTTGCAAGTATTTGGAGGATGTACAATTTCTTCCATGCTTTATAAAAATTCCAAGATACTTCAAAGGCGACTCCATTTTATATTAGCGTCTCTGACAAGCAAATTTGAAGTACATAATTCAGTTAAAATTAATTTCAAAATTAAATAGTAATATATTTGGATAAATTAATAAGCGAGTACTTACGGATTGATGTCAGTAATTGTCTTATATATTGTAGAATAATAATTCATCATTCAGTACAATTCTCTCGCGATAAATTGAATAAAGTTGTTTGGCCATTTATGCTAAAACTTTTTCTCCTCGCCTGATACACGACGGAATGCATTCATTTGCCGACATTCGATGAAAAAACAAATATAGCTGTTGTTTCTCCGTCATGCTTACGCGAATATACAGAAGACATGGATACAGAGAACGTGATTTATTTAATGTCTGTCTTATTTTGTATACTCTCTTCATCGCTGTATACACTTGAACTCCGCGTTATACGTTACGAGTGACAATGTAGAAAGTTTTACTTTTTATTCGCCTCTTTTTCTTCGACAGGACATTCTCCATCTAATTGCGTCTATCAATTTCGATCGCTGTATAATGTATTATAAATTAAAGCAGACTGTATACTATTCGGCTTTCATTTACTTCAATCTTGAACAAAAAAGTTCTCTTTATAAATTGCTAAAGTTATACTAAATGGCCATATCGGCTGCTGTATTAATTCAAGTCTGCTCAAGTCACCTTTTTGTCTTTTTTTCACTCGAATTATATTATTTTGACGAGGAAAATAGACTGAGGATATATATATATATATCAGTTATCTATGGATTTAGATATTTTGTCTAATTTATTATATTTAAATTAACATTATACGTTTATAAAAAATGTAAAACTGATATGAAAATATTAAGTATTATTATTTGTAAAAGGCAAATAATTAATCTCATTATTCGTAGACTGCTTTTACTACGCACGGTAATATTAAGAGAAATAATGAAATTTAATGAAGACTGACGAGAAGTAAAAATATAAAATCAATTAAGAAGATCAAGGCTAGATAATTAAAAGAAGTATATATGTTACAGAATTATTTATTAAAATAATTCGGAGATTTTCATCAAAAAATTCTTTTTTATATTTTTATTCATAATCTTCGGTTTATTAAGCGTATCAGTGTAAATAAAAAAATGAAACGCATTAGTTCTGTTGTGTCAACGGCGGAGAGATAATCCGAACTAAAGGAGACGAAAGGAAACGACGAAATACGCAACAGAATTGATGCTGGTGTAATGCTGGAGGTAAACGAGGCCCGAGGTGAACCCAACAGGCGCGGTGTACTCGCTCCTTAAGAGGAGCGCGTTCGCGAGCTCAAGTCGAGATTTATGCCACGCGCCGGATTTGCGCCTGACGTAGAATTAATCTTTAGCCTCTCGGCCCGCCGTTACTTCGTAAAGTGAGAAACCGCTCATTACTGTATCTGGCTTTGTAACTACGGTGTAACTATGCGGATATAATTCTCGGGGCTGTCCGAGATTGTTACGAGCTAATCGTACACTCGGTCATCCAAGTGGGATTGGTGGGTTCTCCCTGGGTCCAAGTTGAAATTATTCGGCGAGAATTAAAGCGTATGCGATAACGCATAATTGATCGGTTTATAAAATAACAAAATTGTCTCGGAGATATAATATAATAATATATAATATTCCATGTGCAAGAATATGTGTAAGAATTCAAATATGCTGTGCAATATATTTTTATTTTTCTATGAAATATATGATATTCCTATGCATAAAGATTTTTATTTGAGAGAAATACACGTTATAAAAAATTTAATCAATTTATTCATTCTGTCTGCGAATCATGGTAAGCGATATCTATGATAAAAGGCTATAAAATTTACAATAAGATAGGATATTACCTGCAAATCCCATCGGGGAAAGCTATACTCTTCTACAATTTATAGCGTATGCATTAAAAGCGGAGCGTTTCAAATTACGCGATGCAGCACGCATTAATCCGTGTCTCTAGATTCTTTTATACGCATTGTATATTTTATCTTATGAAATAAAATTAGGATGCGGACGAAAATGTATTAAATGGATTGTTCTTCCTTTTTTTCAGGTCACGAACTTCTTGAAAATTAGTCTACCTCGCCGGACTTGTTGGTAAGTAATTTTTGAAATCCTTCGAGAGCTACGCGTTCAACCAGGATAAAACTTATCCAAAATGAATCCCAACGGTAATGTGGGAAATATTTTTTTTGTTTTATGCGACGCGTCGTGCGCTAATGCGGAAAACTTTGTTACGCCGTCGATGCCTCGTAAAAGAGTTTCAGCTTCTCGCGGGAAATTCGCAGTTCCGTCGTATTAAGCTTTTCCCGTTTGCGATAAAAAGTAATGACGGGAAAGCCTTATGGGAGGCTATTAAAGATATCTACACAATTACAGTTTTGAGGTTTAACTCGCGAAGAATAATATCGCATAAAGATATTTTATCGGGAAAATGTTTCTGACAAAATTGTGTCAGCAAGTCTGTGTATTTCATTAATTTCTTCCATTATAGTTTTCTGAGATTCGCCGATCTGTGAGATGCAGAATAAAGATAATATATCCGTATTAATCGGTTTTCCAATAAATCGCTTCCAACAGTTTAATTATTCTCTTCCCCACCTTTATCTTGTTTCGCGTCCTCGATTTGCTGCATCTTTATTTGAACCTAGTATAAATACGATATCCCTCCATTATCGTGATATTAAGGTATTACCTGTACGAGAAATAGCATAAATCAGGCATTTTTTTCTCGTTTGCTGCTCCTCGAAACTCGGATGAGAATCGAATTATTCTTTATCGTCACCATACGCATAATGTCGCGAGCATTGGATATATAGGTGTCGTCTATAGATTTTGGGAGACAACATCTTCTTGGCCAGGCTGGGCAAAAAGGATGAAAGGTGGATTTAGGACTTGGAATATTGGCAACGTCGTTCGTACCGAGGGAAGTGGACGGGGAGGGAGACGACGAAGGTACGACGCGCTCAGAATCGTATCCAAAATTCACGACACGTGCTTCGAACGTAGCTCCCTCAGGAGAAGTCCTTTACCTGAAGAGGTTACTGCCTATTTTTATGTGTACCTACATAGTTATCGAGAGGGAAAGGGATGTGAAAGCTTGAACCAAAGCTCCGAGGGACCGTCCCAGCTGTCGGGCGGTTCCGAGGGACCGACAATAAAATACTTCAAGCGCATAATTTTTATTTTCTTACATTATATCAACTATTCGCTATTTCCTAAAAATAACATATTTATTTTTAATTGCAATCTTTTAAGTACATTTGAATATTAATTCTCTTTCTTTTTTCTTTATGAAAATAAACGCAAAAGGAAGATTTTAATTTTATGATAATATATTACAAAAACCGTTTTGCTGCTATTAAAACACTTTAGAGAGGCATATAAAATAAAAACGTTTGATGATCGAAAAGTCACTTGCCAAATGTTAGCTCCGACTCTCGTGTTTCTTTTCTTTTTCTTTTTCTTTTTTTTCTTTTTGTATACGAGGAACATCGTTGCCGAGGCGAGTTCGTTGATAATCCTGTCGAATGCCAAGAGTGGCGCATCTTTCTCTCACGTTTGACCTTTTCTGGCTCAGTATGCGACGAAGGAGGATTACGGTGATTTTTTCATCGTTCACCGCCTTTATGTAACGCCCTGACATTCTCGGATGGCCGGACGACCTCTATAATGCAGAGCACACATAATGCGTGCCGTTTTTCCGCCACGGAATCGCTTCTTCGTAACGCGGTAATCAACGAGTGTGAGATGCGATATCAAAGCGAATGGGAACAGCGGAAAATGCCTGATTTAGTTACCATAGAGTTAAGGGTAGGCGGTTATACAAAATTGGACATGTAAATGAATATGTACTTAAGCATCTTTATCTCTTTCAAAGATGCAAAAGTATTGCTACAGATAGACGTATATATAAGTCTAGTACCTTTTTATATTATCAACTCTTTTTAACAACTTTATCCTTAACGATATTTCCGATTCTATTATTTCAATTTTGTTATGTTTCTAATAGAAAAATTATGTAATTTATCGCGCGATTATTGTAAATATTAAAGAGATTACCGTATCGTGACGGGTGAAAAAAAAGAGGAGGGGGAAGGGAACTCGTTTGAGAGCGAGATGTTGCCGAAAATCCTCGTTAATTAAGGCTTCTTAATAGACGAGACGGGACACAGACGACGCGTATGTAATTGTGCATTCCCCTGTTGGCAACCTCGTCGCGGGGGCTTTGTCTCGAGAAACCAGACTGGATCTTAGGACTTAGGTTTGCCTGCACGCCTACGGACAATGGTAGCCTACTACAATACAACCCTGCTTATAGTATTTCCAAGACGCGAATCCCGCCTCTCGATAACATCTACCTCTTCCATTCCTCGCTCGTCTACACTCCTTTCTCTATTACCCCTTTTCTCTCCCTCTTTCTTTTCCGTCTGCTCTTTTCTTTCTTTCTCTTTTTTTTTATTGCTCCAAGTATTATATTAACGGAGAAATAATGCATCAATAAATTGTGTTGGAATCGATTTATTGGAAAAGCAATTAATACGGATATATTTTTAATTTATTCTGTATCTCACAGATTGCTGAATCTCAGAGAAATGTAACTGAAAGAAATTAACGGAATATATTAGAGACGACGATTTTTTTGGAAACAATTTCCCGTTAAGATGACTTTATTTATTAATTCTGGAAATATTCGGAGAGTATATGCGAGAAAATATCCCTCCGAGAATTTTTTCTCTCGAAAACACTTGAGAGAGAGAGAGAGAGAGAGAGGTAATTTATCAATGATATTTTTATCTACGCTCCACTAGTATACTACATATGTTTCTTTTTATTTCTAACGACGCACGCAAACGAACATTGAATATGAAATAGCTGCTGCCAGGAGGTAGACTCGCGATAGAGATACGTAGAATCGGTATATCAATTTAATGAAAATCAGTTTTGCTGGAGGGACAGAGGACTTTCCTCGCGAGTGTATGATTGATGATGTGCTGCTTGAGCGAACTCATTGTGAAAGTAGATTAGCATTGCTGTCGACGAAATGTATTACGACGGTATGTCGCCGGAATAATAAATGTAATTTAATATGGCGCAAAACTACTATGACTCTCACGTGGGTTGTTATGTTGTGTGGTCGTGGTACATTACGCACGAATGTACACGCCATATTTTTAGAAAAAGAAGCTAAATAAGTCAGATGCACACGCGAAGAAATATTGCAATGATATATATGAAATTAAAAATAATGAATAGTAATATAAATGTAAATATAAAAAATTTCTTTTTCTGTGTAAATTGTATTTATATTGAGTGTAAAACACAAAAAAGAGATTTATAATTATTGTTCAAGATATTTCTTATAAAAATTGCTTTAATTGTTCGCACCAAAGTGTCATACATCTAAAAATACAGAATCAAGGACAAGAATGGATATATGTGTAATTCGGTAAATTCGTGTGCGATAAAGATCGGACAATTGTCGAGAATTGAAATTGTTGATTATCTTTCGGTGTTGTAAGTCATGACAATGGTATTTCAGAGGAGTTTGCATTATTCGCAGATGCGATCTCGGCTCTTAGTCTCCCGGTTATCAGACGGTGATATCGCCCTACATGGGAACGTACACTATCGTAATGGAAGTAGTAAAAAACAGAGTAGAGACTTCTCGTAAAGTTTTTTTTTTTTTCTTTTTGCTCGTGAATTTGTTCCGCACTATTACATTACATCTTCCAGCAAATTAAGGCGAGTTACAAAAAAGTTACCGTGCATTTAAATGTGATCAAGTTGGTTCTTTTTTTTTATGTGTGAGAGAATATATTTTCCGTATAATCCGTTTTAATAATAATTCTTTTTTTTTTAAGTATAATACAATGTGTTTACATTGCGGATATATATTTTATTTTTGAAAGTAACGCACTAATATCTCTCACGCCAAGATCCTCCTCCCACGACGGCTCGATCTTTATCGTACATTCTCGTCGTCGACACTTAGGTCGGGCTAGGTGGAAACGCACCCTCAAGATTGCTCTTATCAGCATCTATTCCGTCGTATGTCGTAGCAACGCCCATTTTCCATCCCTTGCCTTATCTCGCTGGCTCGCGTGAAAACCCTCTTTAGTCCGACACGTTTCTCTCCCTTTTGCGTAACTGGAAACAATACCTTCTAAAAAGGTAACAAACTTTTTAGTAGTTGCAGGAAAGCCTCGAATGACGGGAGAAAACGAGCGAGCTGTTCCTATATACTTTTTATTATACTTTATACATAAAGTATATATTCGTCTAACTGGAAGCTTTATGTATACTTACTTTTAGGCTCGTGCTATTTCGTCAAATCATGACATATGAATATACACGTAATGTCACATGTGAATGTTGCACAAAGAGAGAAAAGTAGCGATTTTACTGTTGCATACGTTTCTTTGAGGGATCATATCGTGAGACACTGTGATATTTTAAATTCATCTCATGTGTATAATATGCGAAATATGACCTTGTTTATATCCTCGTTATGGAGATTATCTAGAGCGTAATCCTGAATATATTAAAATATCTTTATTTCGAACAAACAACAAATTTTCAATTGGAAGTAAACATATATAACAAATATTGTTATTTAATATTAATATTTTAGTCCGAGGATTTATTTACGAGCGTAACGAGTGGAGTTTTGTCGAACAAATTAACGAAAGTGTCGTTAAAGAGAATACGGTAGCGGCGTCGGAGTAAACCGCAGAAGGGTAGATCGCGAATTGGTCGTTAATAATCAAGAAGTTTTTTAGCAGAACCGGCTGAAATCAACGCTCTCGATAACATCGCGCTTTACAATCTTGATGGTAGCCAACGACGACGGTAGTCTTCCTTTCCCGCGCTGCCAGCCACGTCAGACGAGTTCATTACGGTTGCAATGCGGCTAACAGGATTTCGCTGGTTGTCGTAACGAGCTCTCCCGAGTTGTAATTCAAAAGTTGATTCGAGTAGCTGCAATTTATTGCTCCGCGCGCCCGGCTAAGACTTTTCCTCGCAGAAAGGAGAGAAGGAGGAGGAGAAAGATGGACGGGTAGGACGCGCGGCGACAGGACGAAGAAAGTCATTCG